TGGCCCTGGGGTGGGGCAGTCTTTCCTCAGGCCACCCCATCCCTCAAGGGCACACCCAGTGGACCTGTCCGCCCTCCTGGTGATGACTCTAGAGGCACCTGGGAGGTGCAAGACCACCCTCAGAGCCCATGGGCCCCAGCCACGGCCCCCCTCTGTCTGTTACGCACCCGAGCAGAGGAGGACTCCCCCCACCCCAGGCCCCGGGAAGGAGGCGCAGGGCCAAGAGGCACCTGAAGGCCCAGGTAAGGGGGTGACCCCAGCCCAGGGCTGCTTCAGGAGGCCTGTGGGGCCTGAGGGACACGCCAGGTGGCTCTGAGGGCTGGAGGGGGGTGGGCCAGGAGCCCAGGTTAGGGGTTCCTCCCAGGAGCTGTGGCGGGCCCAGGGACCCCGAGTTCCATCTGCTCCAGGCCCATTTCCCAGCTTTTGAAGTGAGCTCAAGATGTTGCAAGTCGAGGCCACAGCGAGTCCTGCTGGAGCGCCCCGTGGCTCAGGGCAGGAAGGGGGTGGCCTCCACCACCTCTGCCTCCCAGCCCAACCCCTGCTCCCAGGCTCCAGGCTCCTTGAGGCCATTGGGCGTCATGGCAACTTGGGCCGGAAGCAGCTGCCATGGCAACTCGCGTCCAGGGAGGCGCGGGCTGCCTGGCAACGGGGCCGTGGCCCTAGTGCTCCCCACAATGTACACTCGAGCCACCCATGGCCAGGAATTTCGGCCAGTGCCTGGACCCAGGGCAGATTCACACCCCAGCCCAATGCGGGCATCCTGGAGCCCAGACTGCATGCAGACCCCACTACCCCAAACCAAGACATCGATTTGCAGGGCACTTCGCATACATGAGCACATCTGTCCCAGTTCGTGGACTATGGTTCCCGAGCGCCGTCCTCCTCTGAGAGCCCCCGCACCCCTTGGGGCGTTCTTCAGCTCAGGGCCACATTGCAAGGACCACAGGGAGGGGAGGAAGGTGTCAGGGAGCTGGGTCTTCAGGGCTGGGCTCTGAGCCACCAGCAAGCCTTCCAGACAGGGGCACAGCCTAGGTAAAGGTGGGGGTGCAGCAGGCTGCATGGGGTTCGCCAGTCGAAAGGGAAGTGCCTTGGAGTCGTAGGCAGGGGGAGGATGCCCAAGTGGGGCCAAGGCTCCTGTGTCATCGGGGTGCCCAGGCGCCTCCTCGAACCCACCCGGGGATTGCCGCTGCCTTCGGGCCACAAAGCCTGGCCTGGACCACCATGGTGAGACCCAAGGACCCCCCCAGCTGTGGTTGCTGCTATTACAGGAGGAACCACCAGCCTCCAGGAGAACCTCTCTCTCCCCACATAACATTCCCAGGCACCTGCCAGCACCTGGCACACCGACTACAGGATGCAGCCACCACTGCACCCAGCCCCATCCCCACACCACCTGCCCAGAGCCTTTGCCCATCCCCATTCCCCACTACCACCTCGCCTCAGAAGTCCTTCAAGAAGCCTTCCTTGGCCCCCACCTTGAGTCACCCCCAGACGGGTGCTCTGAGCTGAGCACATCCTGAGACCCATGAGATTCCAGATGGGAGTGACTGGGCTGAGGCCAGCGGAGGGTCCCGGGGTTTCCTTCCTCCCTCTGGCGGCTGAGCAGACTCCCCAACTGGTTAGGCAGTTTGGAGGGCAGTTTAGGGGGCAGTTGATCCCTGAGCGGGGCTCCAGGGCCATCCTTCCCAGCTCATGCCCAGCCAGAGCCTGTTGTTACAGGCTGTACAGAGGCCGCCCTGCCCTAGAAACATGGAGGGGCCTCCCAGGGCCGGGGCCACATGCGTCCAGCCTGGCCAGGCCTGTGGACTGTGCTCACCGCCTCTTCGGTCGGGAGCTCCCCACCAGGGGCTTCTGCAGCGCTTCAGTCCCACAAAGAGGACGGGAGTGAGACTGCCTGCAGACAAGGTATTTCAACAAGCCTTTCTTTTTTTTCTGCTGGGAAGGATTAGCCCTGAGCTAACATCTGTTGCCAATCTTCCTGTTTTTTTTTCCCTCCCCAAAGCCCCAGTACATAGTTGTATATTCTAGTTGTAAGTCCTTCTAGTTCTTCTACATGAGCCCCTGCCACAGCGTGGCTACTGACAGGTGAGGTGTGGTTCCGCACCCGGGAACTGAACCCAGGCCGCCGAAGCAGAGCACTCCGAACTTCAACCACTAGGCCACTGGGGCTGGCTCTCGACAAACTTAAGATGGGAAGTGGGGGCTGACTTAGAAAAGAGCAGCCTGGGTGGGGATGAAGCAAGGACAGAAACTCTGGGCTGACTAAGGGATGGCTTGGGGTGACCATCCAGCACTTGTGAGGGACAGCAGGTAACACGGGACTGCCCAGGCAAACTCCCCAAGCCATCCAACTCTGGACAGCAGGGAGACACCCATCTGCAGGCAGAAGGCCTTCCTGCCAGAGGCCCGGCCTTAGGAAGTTGCAGCTCCTAACAGGGAGAGACCCCGGCTCTCTCCGCCCCCTTACACACAGAAGGGGAAAAGCCAGACCTTTGAGGACAGTGTCTGACAGGCAGTCCTGAGACCAAAGACAAACAAGAGCCACTAAGAGCATAGAGAAAATGCAGGAAGCAACGTTCCCTCCCCCAAAACCCACTTGGTCACTAAAACAGAACAGGATGCTCTGAGAAAAGAGTCGGGAGCAGTCAAGAACAATCCAGGTGGGTAGGAAATTCAGAACGTGATTGCTGAAATTCAGATCAGCAGCCGTGGCTCAAGGCGACATGGCCAGCCCTGAGGGTGGTTCTCTGCAGGCCTCACTGGCTTGTCCACCCACCTTCAGGCAGCTGGGACCAGCTAGGGGGACAGAAGTCTCTCTCCCTGTGACCTCAAGTCCTGTAGGAAGGCCACACCTCCCCCACGGCAGAGGTCCCCAGAGCAGCAGGAGAGAGGTCAAGCCTTGTCAAGCTCTGCAGCCATCACGTTAGTAACAGCCCTTTGGCCCAAGTGAATCCCCAGGCTAACCCAGACGCCAGGGTGAAGGGAGGGACTCCATCTCTTTATGTGGAGAGCGCAAAGTCACGTTGCAGATGGGCAAGGACCCCAGGAGAGGAGGGATTTGTGGCTGTTTCCACTACACAGGGACTTGAGTTTCTTCTGATCACCTTTCTGAGGATGTTACTTGAAGACGAGCTTCCACCGAACAAGGGAGGAAACTGAGAGAGAGAATGACATGGAAACAGGGGCTCCAGGAGCAGTCGGGGGGCACGCCATGGGACAGACAGCAGGATGGAATGTTAGCAAGAAGGGAGCAGAAACAAACCAGGGGCCGGAGTCTGGCTCCACCACTGGATGCGCGCTCTGCAGCCGTTAACAAGACATCTGAGGCTGTGCGGCGCAGGCTTGTATCTGCTTCCATCGCTTAACAGCGGGTGGCCTTGGGCAAGTGATTAAATGTCTTCGTGCCTCAGTTTCCCCACCTATAAAGAGGATAATAATCATCCTTACTGGACCATAAAAGTAAATGTTCAATAAATAATATATTTTTAAAAAAAACCTTGGAGCTATTTTAGGCAAAAAAGCCAAGCTGTGGGATGACCTCTTCCATGTGGAGAGAGAGAGGCCACGCTGCTCAGCTGCGCGGCACATGCCGCCAAGCCTGCAGGCGGGCTGCTGGGGCACTGGACACCTTGTTGTTGCCTGATTCTGTGTTAGCCATGTGGCTGGATTACCTGTTTTACGTTCTAAGAAAATAGCTAAGGTAGGTGGGGGGTGGGGGGAGGTGCAGACAGGGTGACGAGATGAGGGTACTTGAGTAACAGGAATTTATCTTCCCTGTGTGGGGCCACCAGTGCTGGCTCCAGCCACTGCCCTGGCCCATTGTGACCTCCCTGGCTGTGCCCAGGCCTTTGTGACAGGCGCCCCTGAGGTGGACCTGTGAGCCGTGACACTCAGTGAGCCCTCAGTAAGAGAGTGGCAGGTCAGACCAGGCCGGAGCCTGGACCTGGGGTCAGGAAGGGGTCACAGGGAGGTATGGAAGGGCCAAAAACCCTGGCACCCTGTGGCCACTCCCACCCTCAGTGCCCCCAACCGCCCACTTCGAGCAGCCATGGCAGATGCTTGGACCCACCCTGCCAGGGGTTTGTAAGGTGGCCCTGCCTAGTGCCTCTCAGCTCCACGCACTCACTGGAGTTGGCCAGGCCTTTCCCAGACCCGGGGGCAGGGGCCGGGGCGCCCAGGGTGGGCAGTGAGGCCCCTGAGAGCTTCAGTGCAAGTGAGGAGGGAGAGACGCAGCGACAGACACGGAGAGACCCGGCGGGGGCTGGACACAGACACATGGAGACTGGGCTGCAGTGGGGCTGGCCCCTGCACTCAGGACAAGAACAGGGGGCCCCCAGGCAAGGGGGACCCCCCAGCTCAGGGCCCAGACCCTGCCCATGCCCGCCCCTGCCGCCAGGGGTAGCGACCCCAGCCACGCCCAGGGCAGCCCCCTCCCAGCTCCAGAGCGTTTCCCTGGGACCTGCAGAGCAGTCCTTCCTCCAGCTGGAGCAGGAGAACCAAAATCTGGTGAGTGAGGCGCCTGCCACAGCTGCAGGGCTGGCCTGGGCTCAGGTCCGTCTGTGTACTGGGCTCACAGCTGTGCCCCGCCCTCCTGGTCCCCCTGTCCCGCCCCTCTGCCCAGCAGCCCCTGCCCCAGCCCTGCTGCCTCAGTCTTCTGCCTGAGAAGCCAGCGGCTGGGACGGGCGTTCCCATGTCTCTGCCCTCCAACCCCAGAAAAGGCAGAACCAGGACCTAAGGGAGCAGCTGGGGGCCCTCCTGGGGCCGGGGCAGCAGTTCCCGCCCCTGTGCCCAGAGCACTCGAGCTGCACGGCCCTGGCCTGGGTAAGTGCGCACATGGCGCGGCGGGAGAGAGGGAGGGCGGCTGGCGGCCACGCTCCACCCCGCTTCCAGCGGTCCGAGATTTAGACGCTGCCCATGGCCTAGGGGCTGACCCCTTGGCTCTTCCACAGACCCCTGAGCAGGCCGGTACACGGCCCCTGGAGGATACAACGCCTTTGCAGCTGCTGCGGCAGGAGCTGTGCCGGGGTGAGGAGTCCTTCGTGCAGCAGTCCCAGGTGGGCCCCAGGAGCTGGGCGGAGACGGGTCCTCCGTCGGCAGCGCTGGGTGGCAGAGGAGGAAAGAGTGACCACTGCTGGCCCTGCCCATGTCCACACTGTTCCCCTCCCTCCCCCAGAACGAGCTGCAGCAGATCCGACTGTCCTTTGAGAGAAAGAAGATGGCCATCACCGAGGTGCCTCCTGGGCTGGGGTGGGAAGGGGCGCTGGGGAACCCACCTGGCGGGGCACACTGTGGGTCTAACTCCTGGGGGTGTGACCCAGCCTCCCCTCCCACCAGGTGTGGGACGGTGTGGCCGAGGTACACATGGCCCTGAATAATCAGGCCACCGGGCTCCTGGTAAGTTCCCGAAGGGCGACACTCAGAGGATGAGGGGGCAGGTGAATGCAGCTGCACGATCAGATGGAGGACCCGTTTTTCCTCCTCTGCCCCCAGAACCTCAAGAAGGACATCCGGGGTGTGCTAGACCAGATGGAGGACATTCAGCTGGAGATTCTGGGGTGACATGTGGGGTTGGGGGCCTGAGGGGCCTGGCTGAGCTGGGGCGGGAGCAGGGGTCCTGGTCAGGATGAGGTAGACCAATCCCTGACCCCTCCCCGGTTCCACTGCACCAGACCAGGGGCTGGTACCAGGCTAGGGCAGGGGGCACACGTGGCCCTGACTGTGTGCCCCCCTAGGGAGCGTGCCCAGTGCCGCAGCCAGACCAGGAAGGAGCAGCAGATGGCATGCATAGCGGTAAGCCCCCACCCACACCCTCTCCCAGTCTCCCACCCTGGAGGTGGAGAGGTGGGCTTCAGTGAAGGAGGCCCCAGGCAGGAGCCTCACCTGGAGCCAGGTGACCAGAGTCACCTGGGAGATGTGGCTGCAGGTGCCTGTCCTGGGCAGGGGAGCAGGGACTCGCAGCACCAGGACACCTGCTCGGGGTGGGCTCTGACCAGCCCCTCCCCCGCAGAAGGCGCGGCCTCCGCTGGGATGCTCCGAGGGCTTCAGAGGCCAGCTCTGGTAGGTGGCTGCATGAGCGGGGGCAGAGCCCAGTCCCCACACCGTCCCCATGGCACCCCCGCCCCTGACGGCCACCGCCCGCAGGCTGCTGCTCCTGAGGCTGCTGCTGGGCGCCCTGCTGGCCTGCACGGCCGCCTACGTGTACGTGGTGGACCCCGCGCCCTTCGAGGGGCTGGTGCCGCCCCTGCTGAGCCATGCAGCCGTCTGGAAGCTCCGGGCCCTCCTGGGCCCGTTCCTGCGCCTCGAGGTGGACGACTTCCTGCCCTTCTAGGCCAGAGGCCCAGTGACCCCAGGGAGGAAGAGGCCAGGCAGCCGGCTGCCCCTGGTGCCCAGTGGCAGCACCAGCCCCTGCCCCGGCACTGCCTGGCACGTCCTCGCCAGGAGCTCCGGAGAAGGGTGGAGGCGGGGTCTGTCCTGAGGGCTGGGCCTGTGGCTGGACATATAGTGGTGACACACATGGCGTGTGAGCTTGTTTCCATGGCAACGGGAGGCAGGAGGCTTTGCCACCTTCTTAGGCAGATCTCGCAGTGGGGGTCCCTCAGGTTGACAGCCCCACTTCGGCCCACATGCCCTATCCTCCTGCTGTACAGCTGCCCCTCCACAGGAAGCCGGAAGCCTGTCCCGGCCGCCGGGAGGGCTCTGAGCAGAGGGTGTCACAGGAGGGTCTCCACTGGAAGTGAGTACCGGGGACCCCAGGCATCATCCCTGGGGCAGGGCCCAGCTGGGGGACCTCAGAGATCAGGTTCTCAGCCCTGAATCTGCTGACCCACTGACCTCACACCCCTCGCGGAACCCCCATCCCTGTCTGGCCAACCACTCCACCCTCCCCACACCCGCCCAGCCACGCCACCACACCCCACTCCACTCCACCCCTGCTCCTGTCCCCTCCCCAACCCAGTGTCCCTGTCCAGTCCAACCTCCTGGTACTGCCCCAAGGCTCAGTGGACAGGGAGACTATGTTGGTGGACAGAGCCATGGAAGTAAACACCAAAAATTTTATTTAGGGCGTTAAATTGGGGCGAGGGGAATACCTTTTAGAACAATAGAGAATAGCTTTGTGGCTTGCTCATCCCCAAGAGGGAGAAAGAGCCACTACCAGGCAGGAAAAGGGCTGGCAGAGCCTGGCCCTGCCCCTGGGGCGTCCAGGTCCAGCTGGCAGAGGACTGCAGGGTTGCAGACAGCAGGGGCCCTCTGAGCTCCCCAGGTGTGACCTCTCGGAGTGAAGACTGCCCGGCAGGGCCGGGGCAGAGCCGTCAGTGAACCACGGTGGGCGGGCAGGGGTCTCCTTTCCACCCGGGCAGGGCCTGGACGGCTCACCAGGCGGCAGCTCCAGGTTAAGGCATCCGTTCATGTGCTGGGTGCGGGGAGGGTGAGCGCAGTGACCTGCGGGGCAACCTGAGACCCCCAGCCCAACTCCCAAAGGCCTGGGCTCCCTGGGGAGGAAGTGGCATCTAAAGTGCTTGGTCAGACAAGGAAGTTGGGGTGATGGTGTGACACCCCAGGGAGGCTGTGCTGGTCCCAGTAGCTCCGGGGCCCCTGCCTGGGGTGTTGGACCCCCTGCAGCAGGTGGGGATTTCCTGAGGTGGGTGGGCACAGGGTCATGGGCCCTGACGGGCTGGGAGTCGGTCAAGGTGTGGCTGGTGGAGAGGGGACCCTCAGCCCATGTCCAGGGTCCGTGGCCGCCTGGCCTCCTAGGCTGTCCTCCTGGGCTAGGCTGTCCCCAGCCCCAGAGCCGCCTACTTGGCGTCCCGCTCGGGCCCTGAGAGGCTGGGGAAGAGGCTGGAGGCGGCCGAGTGCAGGCGGCATACAGCCCCCGCGGCTGGGCTCCAGGGTGCCCTCGGCGTCGGGTAGTCCTCAGGGAGGCCAAGGTGGCAAAGGTGCAGGCCGGGGGGCACCCTGGACTGCCCATGCCGCCCCCATCCACGGCTGCAGGTGCCGATCCACCCCCTGCGGGCCGCAGCGTCCCATGAGAGAGAAGCAGAAAAGTGGAGGTCAGCACGGGGCAGAGCTGCCTGACGCAGGGTCTGAGGCTGGGGCGCCTCCCACGCTGGGCCAGCCCCTGCCCCAGCACCCCCAGTCTCTGCCCAGGCTGTCTCAGCCTTGAAAAGCCAGTGGGCAACCCTGTATGCACCCCTATTCCATCTCCCCCATGCCCTTGGGTTCCTGGGGGGCCCCCCTGGGCTGGCTGCAGCCCCAGCTGTTCTCCAAATGACCTGTTAACTGCCAGGGATGACGCAGACCCAGGGGAGCCTCATGCTTTTCAGCCCCACCTCCCAGGGCTCCAGCTCGGCCTAAGTCAGCGGCAACACCCACGTAGAACACCTACACTGCCAGCCACCACCTCTCCCGGAGCCTGACCCGCTCTGCCCTGCCCCTGGAGCCCCCACATTGCAGCAACAGCCCTGGCCTTGCTCAAGGAAAGAATCAAAATGACTCTTTTTCTTTTTTTAATAAAATTATAGATATATAGATATAGATATAAAAACATAAAACAGACACACGCAAGCGGACACTGCCGTGTGCTTACTCTCGGGTCCCTGGCGCAACTCCGACCCCTCCCCAGTGTGCTTCCCATGCAGGCGCTGCGGCCTGGACTTTGCATGCCTTGCGGTGGGGAATCTCCAGTTTGGCAGGGAGGGGACTCCTGGTCTCATGGGCCCCCGTGGCAGTGTCCGCCCGGCCTGCTCCCACCTGCCCCTGTCGCCTCCCGCAAGAGCACAAAGCAGAGGTTAAGGCTTCAATGACAGCGAGTTTCCCGGCAGGGGGGCAGTGGGGCCCAAGCGTTAACACATGGGACGAGGCATGGCAGCTCAGCGCACAGACACGGGGACACGCCCAGCTGGGCGAGACGGGACACGTGGAGCCGAGACCCCACCCACAGCTGGCTGTCCGTCCGTCCATCCACCTGTCCGTCAGAACCCAGAGCAATCCCGGAGCTGGGTGCTTGTGGGCCAGGGCTGGACTCCCCACGGGAGAATCGGCCTTGCCAAGCTACACTTCCAGTGGGTCCCTGAAAGGCAACAGCTTAGGAGCAGCTGGACAGTGGGGGCCTCGGTCCAGGAGGATGGCCAGGGGCCCAGGCCTCTCTGTCCGTCTCTGGGCCACAGGGACCCATCTGTAAGAAGAGTGGTGGGGACTTGCCTGCTGACAACCTTGGGGGGCACAGGTGCAGTCCATGCAGCTGCAGTATGCACCCCCTCACTGCCCCACCCGGGGGAGCAGAGCCACTGACACACGATCCCGCAGCCCAGTGGCCTGTGGCCCAGCCGCACCCTGGTGAGCAGATGGTGGATGGACGGGTGCAGGGCAAGGGACAGGCACGTGGAGGCATGGTTCTCTATCCTGCTGATGCATCCACACCAGGCCTGGGCCTCCTCCTCTCCCGGGGCAGAGACGTTGGGAGGGGCAGCCGCTGGGGCGTCCTGGTCCCCGTGGCGCCACGGCAGATGGGTGACGGTCAGTCCTCACACCGAGATCTCGTACGTGGTTCCACCCACGCCGGACACCTTCTTAACGAGCGTGTGCCGGGCAGGGCTGGCGGAGGGCCCCGGGGGGCCAGTGGCAGGCCCCAGGTGGGCCAGGCCCGGGGACTGCCCATTAAGCTTACTTGGGGGGGTCTTCAGCTGAGGGTGGTCCCTGCATCAAAACAAGCACATACACGCACGCACACAGTGAACACGGGACCACGGCAGGATGGGCCAGCAGAGGTGAACGACAGACAACGCAGACGCCACGGAGCCCTCGGCAGTCCTGCCCTCTGAGCTCGGAAATCCTGCCCAGAAACTGGGTGGGGATCCAGAGCCTGCTGAAGGAGGGGCTGTGCTGTCACAGAGCAGACAGACAGACATCAGAATGGCCAGCATCCCCCTCCCAAGTCCTTTGGTACCTCCCACTGGCACAGACCACATAGGGAAGAGCATAGGGAAGCCAGGTGGACACTGGCTAGCTGTGCCCCCAGTACCTGCCCTAACCTGGTGCCCCAAGTTGGGGAACCCAGTGGTGATGGTGTGGCCTCTCCCCTGCTCCTCCTAGGAAAAGGTGGGGCTGTCCTCCGGCTGCCCGGCACTGACCAATTGCATTTCTGACCTCGCTGTCCAAACATTCACAAGGGCGGGAGCGCCTCCCACCCTCGGCTGCTTCACTGCTGCACAGCTGCCACCTGCTGGGCCTCAGGACCCACCCTCACACCCACAACAGCGACCTCCCCCCAACCAAGCCCGTGCTCAGGGCGGCCACGGTGATGCCCTGACGAGGCTGACACACTCAGTGTGGGGCCTGGCACTCGGCAAGGAGCTCAGCTCTTGCACTTCAACCTTGCCCTGCCAGGCGGCTAGCCCGGCACCCTCAGTTACCTACCCGCTGGGGGCCTGAGACCAACCTGCCCCCTCCAAGCCTCAGTTTCCCCATCTTGGAGCAGGGAAGCCCTTGCTTCCCGGGGCTGTGTGCCCCACAGAGGGCCAGGGCTGTGGCCCCCAGGGCAGCACGTTTTGCTGTGGGGTGATGTCCCCTAGACTCAGCCTCCTGGACAGGGACAGTGGCACCATCCCCCACAGGAAGAAGCCCCAGGTCCTCTAAGCGCCCAGTCTGTGTGAGCTGGGGGATGATGCGGGGTGTTGGGCTCGAGATGCAAATCCTCCTGCGTCTCCATCCTGGGACGTGCCAGGGCGTCCCTGGAGCTGGGCTACCTCACCCAAGCCAGCCGGGAGCCTCCGAGGTGCATGAGGCCGCTCCTCATAGGCAGCCACAGGCCTCCCAGACAACCCACACGTGCTCAGCCAGGAGGTACCCCAGGCGGCTGGACCCCTGCCCTGTGCCGGGAAGCCCCTGCACCGCTAGCACCCACCTCTGCACAGCCAGTGAGGGCGGCGGTTCCTGGAGGTCCGTGTGGATGAAGGCGACGGCCTTGGGGCCAGAGTAGGAGGGTGAGCGGGGCGTGCTGGGCGGGGAGGGCGGGCCCTGGCGCGCTGGCGACCTGTGTGAGCCACTGCCCGGCCGGGGCCCGGGGGTGTTGTTGTTGGCCAGGTCAGCCTGCAGGGAGGACGAGGAGGTCCGCGGAGCCCGGCTCACGGCGCTCGACAGCGAGGACAGCGACGTCTGCAGGGCGGGGTTGCGGGCACCGCCAAACCCAGGCCCGGCCACCAGGTCGTCTCTGGAGCCATAGCGCCGTGGGGGGCCGCGGGGGCCCTCGGACAGCATGCTGGCTTGCTGCAGGCTGTAGGAGCTGGGCGCATCATAGACGCCCGAGTCGCCGAAGAGCGAGTCAGCCTGCGAGCGCAGCAGCCGCTCCCGCTCCTCCCTGTCCTTGCGCTCCTGGATGGAGGCCATGATGGTCCTGGACAGGTTGTCGTAACGCACGGGTGAGGGCTCCCGCGGCCGAGGGCCCAGCACGGGGCTGAAGCTGCGGGGTGGGGGCCGCGGGGGGTCGCTCACCACCCCCGGGTGCAGGTAGGGCGAGCGGTAGCCAGCCACGCCAGCCGAGGGGTGGGCTGGGCACGTGTGGCCACCGGGTGAGCCAGGGTTAAGCAGACTGTCGTAGGACAGGCTGCCATTGCGGTTGGACAGCGCATGGGGGGCAAAGATGCTGCGGTGTGGCGTGGGGGGCCCACCCTCAGAACGCAGAGGCTGCAGGGCCACATGGTCCCCGCCCCGCCGGCTCGCAGCCTTGAGGCTCAGGGAGCGCAAGGCGCCTGAGAAGGTGTCAGCGGTGCTGAGGGGCGGGGACGGTGGGTAGGCCGCATGCAGGCCCCCAGGAGCGTAGTCGGGGAGGTCCAGGCTGGGCTCGGACGCAAAGTCCAGGCTGCGGATGCTGTCTTCTCCCAGCGTCAGGGAGTCAGGGCCCGCGACCTGGGTGGGGAGAGGGGGACACGTCTACCTGCCCCCCGCCATGCCCTGCCCGCCACCAGGTGGTCTGCCCACATGGAGACTGCAATCCTGGGGACATCAAAGGTGGTGGCAGGTGCAACCAACCAGCCATCCCCAAAGCTCTCTATCCCCTGACAGAAGGAAGTGGGGACAGGATAGAGCAGAGCACCCAGACAGTGATTTCCCCGGTAGTCTGCCCCTGCTGGTAGTCCCCTGGGGGTAGGAAGGGGCTATGGGGGCAGCCTTGGGAGCTGGACCTCCAGGAAACGTATAATCACACAATGACCCAGGGCCCTCTCCCGGGCACTCCACGGCTGAGGGACGGGGGTGCTGCAGTGCAAGGCCAGAGCTGGCTGCTGCAGACGCCCAGAGCAGTGCCCTCAGAGCCCGCCCAGCCCCGGGGGCAGGGACAGCAACAGGGAGTGGGGCCTCTTTGAGTCTCCATGATGGAGGCCTACGGGCTGGGGCTGGGGCTGGGGACGGGGAAAGGAGCCTGCAGAACTTCAAACTCCAAGGGCATGCGGACGGGGACAAACGTGGCCTCAGGGCACGTGGCCAACCAGCAGGACCCTCCGCGGGATCCAGGACAATACCAGGAAGGAGGCAACCCGGGCGAGGGTGCCTAAAGTGCCCTCTGTTCCCAAGAAGGGCTGACAGATACTCCTGGGGGCAGGGCCACCACATGCTGGCTGGGAAGGCCCAGACTCACTGCCCAGTCCAGCGGCCAGAGAGGCCAGGTGGAGCAGGACATCGGTCCTGAGCGGAGGAGCTCCCTGGGGTGGGTGGCTGGTCTAGGTGTGCTGTCCCAGCTACATGCCTGCCTCTGGGGTAGCCGCGGAGGAAGGGGGGCAGCCGGGGAATGCTCAGGGCTCTGGATCATTCTTCAGGCTGTCCAGGACTGCCAAGGGCTCCACAGTGAACAGAGAGCTTATACAACTCAGGGAAAATAAATGTGCTTTCTCAAACAATCTCAGAAGATCTTTCTCAGAAATGTGCTCTCTCAATCTTCTGAAGCCTTCCTGTGGGCCTTGTTGAGTGAGTAATGGTGGAATTCCAGGCATCCTGGCCCCCACTCCTCCTGGGGGCAGCCGCCCACCAGCAGGCAATGTCACCAAGATGGAGGGCAGCCCTCACAGGGCTCTCTGAGACCCGAGGGCGGGCTTCCTAGCAGGAGAGCCCTGGGGGTGAGCCCTCTAGGGGCGGGGCCTCGGGTGAGCCCTCTAGGAGAGGGGGCTGGGGGGGCGGGTAAGCCCTCTAGGGGCGGGGCCTCGGGTGAGCCCTCTAGGAGAGGGGGCTGGGGGGGGCGGGTAAGCCCTCTAGGGGCGGGGCCTCGGGCGAGGCCAGGCCTCACCTGCTCGCTTGGTCCGCAGAAGGGCGCCTTGGGACCCACGGGAAAGGCGGGCCGGAACTTGTACATGGCTGGTGTCGGGGGGCTGGTCCTCTGTGCCGACAGGGCACTCTCTGGGGGAGATGGACCACGGTCAGGCTGGGGTAAGTCTGTGCCCCTCCTCCCGTTTGGCTGCCCCCACCTCACCAGCACTGCCCGGGCGTGGGGTCTGCCGGTCGCCACCGAACGTGCCGGCCTCCGCCTTGGCGGGCAGTGGCGGCCCCAGGTCCAGCGGCTTCTCATCCAGCCGGTCCAGGCTGCCCTTGGACTGGGAGGGGGCGTGGTCAGTGGTGGGTAGGGTGCGGGCCAGGGGCGGGGCTTAACTGGGGACTCCTTCCTGGAAAATCCTGGGGATCCTGCCCCAGAATCCACCCAGCCCCTCCTCCTCCCACTTCTTCTAGGCCCCTCCAACCTGGCTGCTTCCTGCCTCCAGCAGTCTGACCCTCACCCCATCCCATACCCCACCCCAGGGCCCCACCTTGCTGCGGCCCAGGCCAGCCTTCAGCCCGTTGTCGCTAAGTTTGACCTTGAGCGGTGCGGCTCGCTCCAGGAGCTCAGGCCGAAGGAAGGGCGGCTTCAGGCGAGCAGCCAGCGGCAGCCGTGGTGGCTCTACCACGTACCTGCACCGGGGCCAGAAGGGTCAGTGCTCAGGATGACCTGGCTGGCCTCACCTGCCAAGGGCAGAGGTAGACCAGGCTGAGGATCTGCAGCTGCCCACCCTGACCCCCACCCGGGCCTCACCGGGGTGCCAGGGGACTGCACAGCACGTGTTCCACGTTCCCAGAGCAGCCTCGGGTGAAAGGGTTCACGCCCCCTCGGAACTTTCCCGTCACCTGTGGACACACGACTCCTCAGCCAACTTGGCCACCCAGGGTCCAGGCCAAGGTGGGTAGGGGGACAGGCAGGGACAGCTGGGGTTCTCAGAGGTGGGTTAGGCAGGGTCAGCCCTGGGGCGCACCCCCTCCAAGTCACCCCAGGTCTGTCCCTGCAGGGAGCTGTGGAATTCCTAGCTAGGAACACCTAGGCCACAGTGTGCACAGGTGGGAGTGAGCAAGGGGACAGGGCAGGTGCAGCCCCACACCCCAAGCCCCACCTGGGGTCTCCAGGGCCAGGGCCCCCCCACCGAAGCTGCACAGGCAGAGGGCTCCTGCAGCCCTGCCCCGACCCCTCCACGTCCCCGTGCAGCCCTGGCCCTCTGGGCCCCTCGGGGATCCTCCCGTGCCAGGCCCCATCACTGCACGACCCCACCCAGGGTCTGCACCTGCTCGTTGGTGGTGCGCCCCCGAGTGACCAGCACCACATGGAAGCCAGTGAGGCCGATGACGGGGATGAAGAAGAGCCCGGCCACACACATGACAGCCATGCTGGCCCGTTAAGGCCAATGGCTGTGGGCGAGAACATGAAGCAGGTGCCTGTGAACAGACTACTCACCCCCCCCCCCCGGCACCGCCTACCCAGGAGTGGCAAACCACCCCCTGGGGACTCCCAGCAGCTGACCACCCCTCTGAACCTTGGTTTCCCCTGTAAAACGTGGGGAACAAAGGCTGTGTGGTCCAGCCAAGGATACGTGATGGTGGTGTGGGCAGCACCCAGCCCCTCAGCGTGGTTCAGCACGTAGACCAGGCCGAAGGCGACAACGCCCACCATGTGCGCACTGAGCGACAGCAGGAACAGGAAGAAGTAGCGGTAGTTGCGACGCCCAATGCAGTTGTTGACCCAGGGGCAGTGGTGGTCGAAGTCCTGGACAGAAGCAGCACGTCAGGGCACACAGCGGGCCGGGGGAGGGGCGGGGGGGGCGGGGGGGGCAGTCACCTCTACGCAGTTGTCGCAGACGCTGCAGTGGGAGCAGCGCGGCGGGCGGTAGAAGTGGCAGGTGGCGCACCACTTCATACGGACCTGGATGCCCCGCACATCCACGTTCTTGTACAGGGGGGCCCGGAAGTCGTCCTCCTTATCCTCGTCCTCATCCGCTGTGAGCCAGGGCCGGGGGGCAGCAGGAAAGTGACTTCCCTGGCAGAAGAGCCTCTCCCCGATCTGCTAGCCCATGTACCAGGACACCCCCCAACCAGGCTCTCCCAGGTCAGCCACTCACACTCTAGTGAAAGTGAGCAGATGAGCTGCCCCAGCACAAGGCCCTACCTCGGGGGAAGATGCCAGGGTCCATGAAGGTGGCCATGCTGAAGTTGGCCAGGACAAAGAGGAAGATGATGCCATTGTAGACAGGAACAGCTGGGGACACAGCTCGCGTCAACCACGGGCACCTGCATTGGACAACAGGGCAGAGCTGGGTCTGGAGGTGTGGCGAGTAGGTGGGGAGGGGACGCAGGGGCAGAGGAATTAGGCATGGCCACATGTGTGCAGGCTGGGCCTTCGAGGCCACCAGCAGTGTTCAGCGTGGCAGTCAGGGAAATCACTGTTGCCACGGGCCCCTGGGAGGCCTCCGCCCATGGGCCCACCATCAGGGGCTGTGCACGTTGTGCGGTGTGCGGCTCGCTATGTGCCAGTTCTGACCCTGGCAACCTCCCAGGTGGCTGTTAAGAACTCTCAACTCACAGTTGAGGAAACTGAGGTTCAGAGAGGCTCAGTGGAGGCCTGGGATCACACCATTTAGCAGGGGTGGCCGGAGCTGAGCCGTATCCTCCACCCCAGCCCTGTGTCTTTCCCGGGCTCCCCTGCCCGAGGGGGGTGCAGTCTGGAGGCAGGAGCCAGGGCAGGAAGTGAGCCTGCTCTGCCTCACCCAGACCTGTCCCCTTCTCCAGGGAGATTCTGGGGTGTGCAAGCCCCAGGGAAGGGAGGCTTTCTTGAGGGGCACAGTCTCAGGGTCTGGGCCCTGGCTCATCCCCACCCAGGCAGTCCCTTCTTTTTGGTTTGTCACCTTACTCGCCACATGGCAGTGCAGAACACGGAGACTAGAAAAGCATGACGCCCCTACCCCTTCACCATCCCTCACCACCCCTCAGCGCTTGGCTCCAAGTCTGCCCCCTCTTCCAGGAAGCCTTCTCAGACTCCTGGCTCCCTGTAAGGGTCTTGCGCACCTCCCTGGTGTACACTCTGCCACAGAAAGCGTCTTCCTCAGCCCTCGTGGGCCCTGACCAGAGCCCCCTCTGTGGAGACCTGCCAGTCCTTGGGCACATGGCCTGTGGCCCCCTGCCCCGACCCTGCAGTGGGTTCCTGAGCCCACTCAGCCACAAAGCTCCTCTGGCCTCAGGCTCCCCGTCTCTCCCATGACTGCTATGACGGGGGGGGGCACCCAAGGGGCTTGCTCCCCTCTCCAGCCAGGCCCTCTGCAGAGCTGGGGGGCCAGCGGGGATCCCCTCCCAGCAGACCTGACCATGAGGACAGGGTGTCGTGGCTGCCAGCAGGGTGAGCAGTGCCCACGGCCCTGCCCGCCACCCCAGTGCACACCGGCCACACTGGCGCACCCACGCCTGCCTTGGATGGGAGCCAGCCCTGCCGCCCCAGCAACCACCTCCATGGCAGCAGAACTTTGCTATTTTTAGTGGAAAGCGAGAGGCTATTTAAAGATTGTGCTTCCCACGGCAGCATGCTCGGTGGGCCAGGAGCTGCAAGTTACCCATTCCTCTTCTCCAGGACCCGCTGTGGACGTGGCTGCACGGCCTGAGAACATAGGGTCCCTCTGCCTGCCACGAGGGCCTTCCTCTGTCACCCCTGCCCAGGCAGCCCCGAGTGCCCACCCGCAGACACCTTCCATACTCCCCATCCTGGCATACAATGGCGCTTAATGTGTGTTTGTGGCCTCTGATCCAATGCCATTCAGCAAGGCAACAGTGGGCCTCCGAGGCATGATCTGCCCAGCAAGGCGAGGGGTGGGGGGCACAGGCCCAAATGCCAGTGGGGACAGGCTCTCCAAGTGGGAGCCACCCACTGGAGAGAACCAGGCACCCCCTGGAACCAGGGAGAGGTGGGCTCTGCGGACCCCACTCAGGCAGTGCAAACCAGCTCCCCATGGCACCTTCTGAGAAGGGCTGGCCACGTAATCTGCACAAAATGAAAATGCAGCCCCGTGTTAAAAAAGTATTAAGAATTTCAAGACGGTGACAGGAGAGCATCAAAGCAAACACAAGTCCTCGTGCCCCAGCCTGTTCCGGGACGCCCCTGTGCTATGCACATGTGGGGGGGACCCAGCCCGCTCCGGGAAAGGAAGGGGCCGAGGGGGTCTGGGGTGCACTGGGGCTGGCTGAGGAGAGGCGGATGTGCAGACACGGGGTGCAGCAGGCGGGCGGGCACTAAAGGCAGGAGGACACGTTGGGGGAGGCTGGAGTGTGGGCCCCGTCCACCACTGCTGTCCAGGTTTCACTGGAGAATACCGATAGGCTGCTGCCCACCTGCCCCACACAGTGGCCCATGCCCACCCTCCCAGTTGCAGGGGGCGCTTCTGACCTCCCCATTTTACAGGAGCAAGTATCAGTGGGCTTGTCACACGCCCGAGGCCTTGAGGCAAGTCTGCGTCTGAGCTGGGATTCGGGCCATCAAGCAGGCGGGCAGGGACTGAAGCCCACGGGCAGCCCCCTCCCCTGCACTGACTAGAGCCCCCACCGGCCCAGGCAGCCGGTGCTGCTTCGTCCTCCCTGAGCCTCGATAACCCCTGATGGGCCGCATGGGCTAGACCACCAGCTAGTCTAGCGAGTGGGCGCCTGGGGCTGGGGGTGTAGCAAGTGCTCAGTGACGGGGCCACCTTTGGAAATCTGCACGGTGACGGGGCCGTGCTTGCGTGAGGCGCTGGGTGCCCTCTGTGCAGCGTGCGCACCACCCGCCCGCGTGCCTTGGCAGCGCATAGCAGAGAGGGCGCGGCGGGGCCTTAGCTAGTGTGGGGCAGGCTTGCGAGGGGGCAGTTCTCTGACCAAGACCTGTGCCGCTGCCCTCTGCCCACTGTCTCCAGCCCCACAGGCTTGACTCAGACCCAGGATCAGGCAGTCCCGTGCATTCCTGTCCCCTCGTCCTCCCCCGGGGGGTCTTTACCACCAGGCTGTTTCGTACAGGGGCCCAGGCCTGGGTCATGCCTCATGGGACTGTCTCACTGGCCAGTGCTGCCAGGGCCAGCAACTCAGCCACCTCAGGAAACGGCTAACTGGGGAAGATGAACGAGCACATGCAGGCATGTGCAGACACACGATGACCACGCAAACATGCAGGGACACGTGCACGCACACACATATGCAGTGCACACAGACACCAAGACATGCATGTGCGAATGCACATGTACACACCATACAAGCACAGAGACACATGCGCACACAATCACACACAAAAGGCACATGTGCATGAACACACGCGAACATGTCAACATGAAAGACACACATGCATGAACATTTGTGAATACAGATACGCACACTCGTGCACACGCTGGCACGCACACAGGCACACCTGCACCTTCATTCATGCACAGTGTACACACAGAGACACAGACATGTCCCTTCTCCCACTGACCACTCCCCCCCCAGACTCCCCTGTGCTCCCCGTGGACGGGCAAGCGTGAGGACAGGTGAAGCCTGGGGGCAAGGCCTCGCAGGCAGCACTGCTCAGCCTACCTCCAACCCAGGAGTCTGTCCTAGGCTCCACAGCGCCCCTCTGCCCACAGGGATGACACCCCACTCCCGCCCAGGGGACGATATACACCAGGCTCGCCCTGCAGGCAGGGGTCAGCCACTTTCCGCTGGCTGCAGCCATGCTGTGGCCTGGGGGTCAGCCCAGCTCTGAGGCTCCAAACCCTCCTCCCTGGCCAGCCCCCGCCTCACTAGCGTCAAGGCCACGTGCCACTGCCGCGGGCCCCACCCAGGTCAAGGCCAGCTGGGAGACACCACCCAGCAGGGGTGGGGGTTTCTGCAGGGGCAGCACGCACAACACAGCTAAATGTGGAATGGAAAATTTTAACTCAGATGTTTTCATTTAAGTTGAGTTCTTCATCGACACCATTTGTGTTTGAGAAAGATGTACGGGGCACCCAGGACCAGAGGGTCTGCGGCCACTCTGCCCTGGTCATGCCAGGCAGGACCTCTGGCCACATGCACCCACCCATCCTATCCCTATAGACACCTGAGCAGATGAGGAAGCTGAGGCTCAGGGGGCCAGGGATATTCCAGGCCACATGCAGTGAGTCCCGGCAGGGGCTCACACCAAGTTTCCCCTCCCCATGCAGCCCCTGCCAGCGGCTTTGTCCACCTGGCCCTGCCACGAGCAGGCCTGGTCCTAGGCTGGACCTCCCACTGTCCCAATCTGGGTCTTGTGGCCTGTCCAGGCCTCCAAGCATGGGGAGGGCTCAGGTCCATCCTGGGGACCAGCCTCAAGATCCCAGAAGTTAGCCCACTGGCCCTGGGCAGAGACCAGATGCCTCAGTCTAGCCCCAGGCATTGGTATCCTGCCAAGCAGCCCCGGCTCTCTGACGTTCATTCACAGGCTCCTCATCATTCGGCAAAGTGGCTCTGGGAGGAGAGGGGGAAAGAGGCAGAGGCCTGGCCTGGGGGCTCTTGGAGCCCCCACCCCCAGCACCTGACTCAACCTGATGCTGAGCCACAGTGTGAAGGGCTTCTGGGGCCCAGGGGGACATGACCACACTAGGAACCCAGGAAGGCTTCCTGGAGGAGGATGGCCATGAGGAACCTGCCCTGTGGCATGCTCCCCATCCTCAGAACAGGGATGCCTTCACTTCTGGGCATCCTTCCCACGCTTCAGCCTCTCCTGGCAATATGTCTGCATGTCCTGCTAGTCCCAGCCCCCTCAGTGAGCTGGCCTGCAGGAGGGGTCCTAGGTCCTCCCAGCCCCAGGCTCTCCACCCTGCATGATGCCAGGAGCTGCTGCCTGAAGGGACCTGCCCCCAAAGGGGACTCTGCCCCTTTACTGAGGGCAGAGAGGGGCCTGGGGCCACTCACCATCCAGCAGAGTCCAAGGAGCAAAGTCAGAGAAGACAGAACTCTGTGGGGGCGCCAGAGGCAGTGGGGGAGGACACAGGAGCGGGCTACTCCCTCCTGGACACGTGTCTGAGTCTGCAGTGGGCCTGGGCCCAGAAACCAGCTGGAAGTGTGGGTGCTGGGGTGACAAGAGGCTGGTCCTGAGAAGGGTACTGCCTGGACCCCTGTTGCCCGGAATTGGCATGCTGTGGGTGGCGTCAACAGGCCTGGCCCACCCCACAGAACCTTTTCTCAAGAACCCAGCTGCCTCAGAGAAGCCCAGCGGGGCCAGGGCAGAGGCAGGCCAGGGGCCCCGATGGCCACTTGGCACAGGGAATGTGGCCTCGGGGTGGGGTTGCAGTGGAGCCCCATCCCGGGGGGTGAGTGACGGCCACTGCACCTGAACCCTGGCAGTGCCCCTGGGCCCCCACCTGCCGCAGGGACACACAGCTCCTTCTCCTGGGCAGACTGGTCCACAAGCAGGGCAGGATGCAGGTGCCCTGCGGGAACCCTGTACCTTGGGACCTGGTGTCCCTGAACCCAGAGCCCAGCTGTGAGAGCAGAGGGAGGAAGAATCGGCCCTTGGCAGGGGGCAGCAGCCTCAGCGCCCACCACCTGGGGCGGGTCAAGTCCACAGCACAGCCACGTAAGGGCCCTCTGCCCCCACGGGAAGGGCTCATGACAAGCATGCTCCGGGAGCCCCAGGAGAGCCAAGGAGGCGAGGAGACCGCAGGCTCTCTGGGGTGGCGTTGATTTCAAGTTCTCTTTAAATTTTTTTTCTTGCATTTCACAAGTTCTCAATAGAGAACATGCATTACTTTGAAAGTCAGGAGGAAAATGCTGAGTTGCATTTGGGGGGTGAGACACCAGGCCTGGCAAGGGGAGGCCAGGCTGCCAGGAGGCAGGGTTGGGACCCCCAGACCCCGGCCCAGCCCCGGGGCCAGGACTGGGCTGGGCCCACCCTCCAGGAGACCCAGCGGGATGGCCCCCTCAATCTGTGTCCCTGCCCACTGCCCCACAGCCAGCAGCATCTGAGTGACAAGAACACGCCTGCTCGCCAGAGCCAGAAATAAGCCCGTCCACACAGGCCCCTTTTTAAACACACTCTCGGCAGGCTGTGGTGCCCATCCCGCCCCGGCTTCCAGGTAGGGCTCTCCCGCCTCCACAGGCACCCAGTGCAGACTCGCCGTCCTCATGGCGGCCGCCCTCACTCTTGCTAAGGTGAAAGGTGCCAGGCTGGCTCCTGCCTACCCCTGCTCTAGGCTCGCTCACACTCAGGGGCTGACCCGCCTTGGAAGGGAAGGCCTCAGAGGCCTCAGGTCCACAGGAACGCTTGAGTGGTTGTTGCTCTGGTCACCTGGGCTGTGTCTCAGCGTAGGACTTGTGGAGAGGGGTGGCCGCAGATCTGCCTGGCTCAAGCCTGCAGCCCCAACCCCTCTTGCGGCTGAAAGAGCCCTGAGGGGTCCCCCACGACCATGCAGAGGAAGCGTTATCATCCACACACCACTCAACTCTGTGAGCAGCCTGTGTCTCAGGTGAAGAAGCCAGGGCTGCACCCTGCCTGCCCTCTGCCTCAAGGGTCCCAGTGCCTGCCATGTCCCGTGTCCCTGGGTGTGGCCTGGCCTGGGCCCTCCAGCTGTGACCACTGGGCCTTCCTGAGGAGGAGGTCAACGGAGGGCAGAGGGAACTGCCAGGCCAACGTAGCCAGCAGCTGTGGGGCAGGCACGTGGCAGCCGGGCCAGCCCACACCTATGCGAGAACAATTTGGCTCTGGCCCGGGGCCAGACAGCTGGGAGGGGACCCAAGAGCCACCCTCAGCTCCTTGCAGGCTGGTAGGTCCGGACAGCCCATGGCCCCTCATGCAGCCAGTGGGTAGGGGAGGGCTGCAGCCACGCCCTGGGCAGCCACCGCACACACTCCCAGGCCGGCCCCCCGTACCTCACACCAGGGCCTGCCTGGCACACTCCTGAGGTGCCTGCTGTCCCCACACAGGACTCACCTGTCCCTGTTGCCCCAGGATGGGCACGCTTACAGCTTCAGTCTCAGCAAAGGGTGCGGGCTCACGTGGCACACAGCCCTAGTGCCCCCTGCCCTGCCCGCTGGCCCCTGCCTCCCAGTCCTGCCAGTCTGTAGCCACCACTGTCCCTGACCCCCGCCCCTCCTGCCCAGCTGTGGCCGCCTGTGCCCCGGCGACGGGGGGGGGGGCGGTACTCACGTGAACACGAAGAACAGGGTGCTGGAGCCAACCAGCAGCGCGGCAGCAGTGGCCACCGGGATGTACTTGGCGGGTTTGAGGCGCGTCCCGGGGCTGCGGGGCATCCTGGGCGCCGCGCCGCCGCATCCCTCCCCGGGGCCGGGCGGGCGGGGCCGGCTGGACGCAGCGCAGGACCGGCGGCGGTGGCGGCGGCGGAGGAAATCCCACCCCACGGGCGGCGGCGGCGGCGCGCTGATGTCAGCGCGCCCCTTAAGGTGGACCGGCGGCGAGGGGGGCGAGGGGGGCGCGGGGACGGGGCGGGGCCGGAGACCTCTTGAGGACGCCTGGTCCCCTGTCCACCCCACGCACTCCTCCGGAGACGCTCCGGGCGGGAGGCGGCCCGGGCGCGGGAGCCACGGAGCCCTCTCGGCCTGCCCGCGTGGCGGAGCTCAGCCGGCCTCCTGTGCAGCGGTCAGGGCCCTGGGGCTGGCAGGAGCTCCTCCCCTTGCCGCCCCAGGCGGCTCTCTGAAGCCACGCAGACGTCCACATCTGCAGGCCTTGCCCACTCGGGGGACACGGCGGTGAGCACCACGTCCCCTGTTCCCGGCTGGCAGGCCCTGGCGCTGTGGAATGTTGGTGTCCCCCCCCCCCCCCCCCGGGCCTCTGTTTGCACAGACCTCTCCCTAAACCCCTCGGAGCGCATTCCTGGGGGCTGGCTGATGCCCCTGCTCCATGCTATTCCCAGTTAGGGCCAGAATCCTCTCATCTGGAGCACCCCACGCACGCCGCCGCCTCCAGCATTCACCCGGGTGGGGGTTGCGACACTGTAGGGGCACCTTCGCTGTTTAACTCCTGCCCACCTCGCAGCCCTCAGGCCACTTGGCTAGACCGAGCCTGCTAGTGGGCAGGGTAAGAAGGGCAGGCGGGCGCTGGTCCTCCATGTCCCGGCCCAAGCTGCAGGCTTGGGAGTGTGTGTGGGTGGGAGACCCAGGGCCAGGCGAGCACCCAGCCTTCTGCAGGCAGGGTGGAGTGCCCCTCAAGAGGGGCAGGGCACCCTGGCCCTGCCTGGGATAGGCCTGTGGGCAGGCCCACCTCCCACAGGAAATCCCACCCGCCAGCGCCGCCAAGGCCACCACCGCCACTTAAGGTGGACCAGCAGTCTCGCAGTGTCGGCTGCGGCGTGGGTGGGACCAGCTGGGCAGCTGTGGCTTCCCCTGGCAGAGCAGCCTGCACGGCACCTCTGGGAGGTGGGGACCTGTCAAGCTCTGCAGCCTCCCTAGTGAGGACCAGCAAGTGTCTGTCCCCCACACGCCCCCAGGCGCCTCTGCTCTGACCCATGAGCCCCCTCCCTGGGTGGGGACCCGTGTGGGGGCCCTTGCCCTCCCCAGCCCTAGGCATCTGCTCCTCTACAGCCAGAACCCTGTGTGGTGCAGAGCACTGCCACAGGCCCTGGGGCTTCTTGGCCTGGAGGCCCCTCCTTGCCCTGATGTGGGACTTTGGAAGGCCCCCACCCCAGCTCCACAGGCTGTGGGCTGTGAGCTGCCATTAAGGAACCCAGGATGGAGGCCAAGACTGGGGCCTTAATACAGCTCCTTGGCAGCAGATATGGTGATGGGCTTTCTCCCACAACACCCCAGTTGGAGCCTCTGCCCTGCAGGGTGTCCACTCCAGGAGGCCCAGCACAGGAAGGGGGGCCCTAGCACCAGAGGAAGGTTTGGGGCAGCAGAGAGAATTCAGGGCACAAAGGTAAGCAAAGAGCAGACTCTCCGTGGAGCCGACATCTCACCTCTGCTGAGCTGCCACAGCCCTCAGGGGGCCTCAGGGCCTATGGACACAAGGTCCAGCGTCCTCGCATACAAACGGGCTTCACCCTTGCTATTGCCCTTCTGCAGCCCAGCACACGGAGGCCATAGGCCCCCCACAAGTCCCTGGTCACAGGCCCACCCATCAGGAGAGGCTCCTCCCAGCAGGCTCCCCACTGCACTGAGCCCTCGGGCCGGGTCTGACTCCCTGGAGTAAGTGCCACACGCCAGTCATGGGAAGAACAGTGCTCGTGCCTCCTTGGTGAGGTCCCTTCAGACTGGTTGGGCAGAGGGGGTCTCGGGTGGGGTGGGCCCAGCAAGGCCATGGTAGGCCTCAGTGCCAACGCTGCTGCTGAGCCCAGGTCCCAGGCATCCTCTCCCCAGGCAGTCGAGAACCCAGGAAAAGGGGAGAGCACAGCTTCCCCAACCTGCAGGAATGAAAGGTCCATCCTCAAGACCATGAGCACCCCAATTCTGGCTCACCAACGCCTCTGTGCCACAGGGAGCCCACCTGAAAATACACTGGCTGGGGGCTCTAAGCCCCTGCTCATCCCAGTGGGGCCCACTGTTCTGCAGTGTCAACAAGCCATGTCTTTAAATGCACGCTGGTGACAGCACGGCTCTGGCGCCCTGGCCATTCTGACGGGCCTTTTTGCTTGGAGACACATCTCCTCACCCAAGAAGGAAGTCAGCCTGGGGTTTTACATCAAGTGGGATTTATTTTGTATTGGAGCCTAAAGCAAAGACAGGATGTTAACCATCCATTCTGTGCTGAAAGGGGTGTGTGAGCCCCACTTCCCTCCAGGAGGACCAAGCCCTGGGACGAACCTTTCACACATCAGTGCATCCAACAGAGGCCCACAGGGAAGTGACATCTGCCGTTTATAGCCTCAGAATTCCTATTCAAGACGGGCAAGGTGCAGAAGCTTCAGTGGCCCTCCTTGGGCGGGAGGACCTCTGCACCCACTTCCTCATGAGGACTAGAGCCGCATGCCCCACACGGGCTAAGGCTGCCAAGGACATGACAAAGTTGGCCAGTGAGGTCTTCAGTTTGGCTTTTAAAACAAGAGTGACTTCCTTTGGAGGACCATCCCCCAGAAGAACCAAGAACACAAGGTTTTAATCCGACACAGATCACAGAAAACAAGGGTACACAGGGAGATCCAACAGAACAACCTGGCTAGTAGCAACTCGGGCGACACTGTACAGCACCTCTGGCAGGTATTAATGGCCGATAGCCATGGAGACTCCAGGGTCAGGTCCTCGCTTGCTCCCCGCTGCTGGAGGGCAGGGTGGCCATAGCTCCCCGGAGCCCTGGTGGTCTCCCTGGGACACAGGCTCTCATGAGTGGGACCCCGTGCTTTATAAGGTCTGCCAGCACACTGTAAACCCTTCTCCCTACTCAGGAGGTCCACTGAGACAGCCTTTCTATACGACAAATCCTTGAACAGCACTAACACATTTGAATTCTCGAAAACCTCCTTTCACAGGGCCACCCGTTGGCACAGCGGTTAAGTGCGTGCGCTCCAGTGCGGCGGCCCGGGGTTCGCAGGTTCGGATCCCGGGTGCGCACCAACGCACCGCTTGTCAAGCCATGCTGAGGCAGCGTCCCATAAAGTAGAGGAAGATGGGCACGGATGTTAGCCCAGGGCCAATCTTCCTCAGCAAAAAAGAGGAAGATTGGCATTGGATGTTAGCTCAGGGCTAATCTTTCTCACAAAAGGAAAAAAGAAAAAAGAGTCCTTACATTTAAAGCTATTGTAGCTGTCCACAACTCCCCCCCAAGATGGGGATGCTGGGAGCAAGTTGACAGAACAGTTCTCTCCCATGATGGCAGCAGGCTATCTGATGAGGGCTGCAGGGCTGAGCCCCACCTATACACTGCACCCAACTGGACATGCATGCTATGGGGCTGGCCTTTCCCTCCGCCGGGGCTGAGGGCCGACCAGACAGCCTTGACCAAAGCCTGGAGACCTGCTTGGCCTCCCTGTACGAAGCCAAGATACTCTGGTGGTCTTCCTCTCTCCCAAAGGCCAAAAGAAAAAAAAAGCCTACCTACTTCTGCCCATAAGGCAGCAGCACACGAGCCTTCAGGAGGCAGAGGACCCAGCACTGCCTCCCCCGACCCACCAGCACCAGCTCAGACACACGTCCCCAGCGGCCACCAACAGCCCAAAGCCCACAGCAGAGTGACGGCGGGGGGGACCCAGAGCGTTGCCCCCACACCCCGGGGCCAGCAGGAGCCACACTGCTCCCAGGACAGGGCGTTGCCCCACACCCCGGGCCAGCAGGAGCCACACTGCTCCCAGGACAGGGCCGGCGCACACACGGGCCTGCCCTCTGTGCAGGTTTCAAAGGTGTTTATTCACTATCTCGATGACTATAAATAAGTGTTTCCACTATGGAAAAGAAAGCACAGTACATCTTCATGACCGGGAATGGATTTTCTGAAGTCAACTTCAATAGGGCAAAAACTTAGAAAAAAACAACCTGAATGCTGGAATTCAGTTCTTTATATAAAGTCCCTTGTAAAAACAAAACAGAATAAAAAAAAACAAACAAAAGCAGGGCAAAATTAAAAAACAAGAAAGGAAAGAGAAAGAAAGGAAGGGAAAGACGATGAGGACGGACGGCTTATTGCTTCTCCGCAGCCTCCTCCCTGCTCTCCTCCTCGGACCCCTTGCTCTCCTCCTTCACCGAAAGAGCTTCTAGCTTTTCAGCCACTTTCTCGGCATTATCATTTTTGCCCAATCCTGCTAAAACAGAGGAATACAGTAAGAAAACAGAAGCACGGGACCAGCCCCACGGTGTAGCGGTTAAGTGCGCGCGCTCCACTGCTGGCGGCCCACTTTCGGATCCCAGGCGCGCACCAACACACCGCTTGTCAGGCCATGCTGTGGCGGGGTCCCATATAAAGTGGAGGAAGATCAGCATGGATGTTAGTCCAGGGCCAGTCTTCCTCAGCAAAAAGAGGAGGATTGGCAAATGTTAGCTCAGGGCTGATCTTCCTCAAAAAAAAAAAAAAAAAGCACGGCTCTCTCCCCAGCCCACATGCGGCCCTGGGACACGCGCCCCAGAGCACAGGCCGCTTCTCCACCCTACGCCGCCAAGACGGACTCCCGGTCCCCCAAACAACCCCGCACTCACGCCTGGGCCCCGGGTCAGGCTGCTCAGTTACATCTCGTCACTTGCTATGAAGCCATCGTTAGGCCCCGAGTAAGCAGGTGACCACAGGTGACCATGAGGACCTCTCAAAGCCCCTTCAGTCTCTGGTGGGCTCTGGCCAGACGCCATGACCTGCCTGCATGGCCAGACCAGTGAGCACACGCTCAGGGCCCCAGTGGCTAGCTCACTCCCCAGAGAGCACTCTCTGTCCCCGGGTGGCTGCATCGCCCTTGACAGGTCAAGGTGGTCACAGCAACCCGGAATGTTCCTGTGGCAGACGGAAAAAGCACCCGCCTGGGCCTGCAGCCGGGTGCAGAGTGAGTCTGCGAGGGAGCCCCACCCACAGGTGCCAGATCACCTTTCTTTTCTCTTTCTTCGATCTCTTTCCTGCATTCTTCAAACTTTGTTTTGAATTTCTGTGCATCTGCGGAAAAAACAGAGGAGACTTCCTAAGAGTCCAGAGCATTGAAGGGGACACGTCCTGGTGGCTCTGAAGAGCCAGGAGTCACAAAGCGCCCGTCCCACAGCCATTTCTCACCGGAGGCTTAGCTGAGCCATCTGACACGGCCCTGGGCTGGCTTTTGCCCGGATGGTGTAGTGACTATTTCCCAAGTCCCTCCCAAGGCTGGGACTACGCCGGGCCACCTCCCTCCATCGGGCTCTGTGACAAGCTGGGCAGAACGGCACAGAGCACTATGGCCTCGGGCAACCCAGGGGCAGGGGCCTCCTCGCCACGCACTGCTCTCCACTCATGTTGGAACAGCCAGGAGAGGCCCAGAGAGCAGAGGTGAGGTTCACTCAGCACCAGATGGTCAGCTACTGGGCGCTGAGCCCTGGCACCCACCCAACTCCTCCAGGGCACACTGGGTGCAGCTTTTGACGATCTGGGCTGAAGAGACACCTAGGCAGGGAAGAGGTCAGCCTGGGCCTGTGGATCTCAGCACAGTCCCTGCTGGCACTCAGGTGACTGTGAGGGGACATGACTGCCCTGGGCAAACCAGCTGGCACAGCACCCTGCGGTCAAGAGGGAAAGTACACTGCTTGTGGCCTCAAGGGCATGTGGCTTGACAAGCCCTAGACCCCTCCTCAGGCCAGCAGACAGTGGAAGAGACAGTCTCTACCACGCGCCTTGCGTTCCAGTCCCTCCTCCTGGAAGGGCAACAGCAGCTCTGTCTGCAATTAAACCACCACGCGCGTGAAACAGGCGGCCGCCGTCAGGCCCGAGGGCCTGCCCACCTCCTGCTTACTTTCCGCATTCAGGAAGCGGATGGCCAGCAGCTCCGGCTTGGGGAACTCATCAGCAAAGTCAGCGTGGGTGTTCCAGACCCAGGCACGGTCGCTGCCGGCATTCGGTTTCAGCTCCATCACTGGCGTGACTGGGGGAGAGAAGCCCTGTGAGGATGGTGCCGACTGCCGCGAGGCCAGCCCACCACCCCCAGCCAGCCCTCCACAGAAGGCCCTGGTCACCAACCCAAGGTCCCACTTTGGGCAAATCAAGGATGATTTGGGATCCGCCAAGCAGTCCTAGACAAAGTCCTGCGAAAAATGGATTTTACCCAAACTTCTTTGAAGGTTTGAAAGAAAACGCTCCATGTTCACTTAAAACCAAGACTGTCTTAAATCTGGGGACACAGTGGCCTGCTCCCTGACCATGAGGACACCTCAGCAAGGGTCTCCAATCCTACTGGACAAGGGTCCCAAGGCCAACACGGCTCTTCATGCCCAGCCCCTTGGTCTTGCCCCCACCAGAGCAGCCCGCAGGCCCAGGGCAGACATGGGGCACAAGGCCAAGCAGGCCCAGCTCTTCCTGTGGAGGACACCCATCTCCTGGCTGTGTCCACGCTCTCCCATGGGGGAGCCGGCCCAAGGAGAGGTGGGGGCAGCGGAGGTGATGACCCAAGAGGGCACGTGGTCAGACCAAGGGCAACCACTCTCAGCCCCGTACTATCCAAGGAGACCTCGGGGGACGGGGACACCAGAAGTGGACACCGAGAAGCCTCGTGACATGCTTGTACATCAAGGAAGACAGAGCCAAGGCCTGGAATAAACACCAAATCTTCATGTCCTCAGGCTCCATGCAGACCCAAGGGGAACGAGGCAAACAGGCTCCCTAAAGAACAAGAGTATCCCCAGTGCCACACCCGCCTGTGCAGCCCTGACAGAGATTTTTGGGGACACGGGACAGCCCATGCCCAGCCCCGGGCACATATCACCGTCTAACCAGGAGCAGCCCTGGCGACCCCACATGCTATACAGGGCACATAAAGGTGCCCAAGCCTCTTCCTGCCACCACCCACCCCATCCATCAAGGGCCTGTGACCCTTTTACAACTCAGACAAACAACCCAGTGACCTCACAAGGCTCTGGGAGAAGCAAGGGGTGTCAGGAAGACCTCAAGGAAACAATTTCCAGGGGCTGCAAGACAAGGACCAGGCCAGAGCAGACAGGCCGGGTGGCGGACAAGAGGGCTGCTGGAGCAGCTCGTAAGAAAGTGGTCAGGCTGGGCCGCGGAGACTGGTGCAGAGGCCCCTCCCTGCACCCTTCCACGTCGCCCTCTCATCCCACCCAAAAATGCAGACACGACGCTGGCCCGGGAACCGAGCCTAAGACACAGCTGTTTCTGGGCAGACACTGACAGCACTGCAGAAGCGCCCAGCAGCCAGGAGACTGATGTCTCCTGTGGCGGGAAATTACTGTCACCCCTTCACAGGCCAAGGCTTATGTGGCTTTTCCTGGACCCCACATCACACCTGACCAAGGGCCTCCACCCACTACCACCCACTCCCTGTGCAGCTTCACAGGCGCCTAAAGATGAGGCGGCCACCTTCTCGCCACCCGGTTCCCCTTCATGTCCTCCCCAGGGTTCACCCTGGAGAGAACAGAACACCAAAGGGTGGGAGGGCTGCCGCCCAGGCACCTCGCACACATGTGCATGCACGCACACACGTGCCCTCCCGCCATCGCCTGGCACCCCACAGTCCCAAGCCCACACTGGGGCAGTATCCGTCCGGTCAGTGCCTGTCTGCCCAGACTCCACAGCTCGTATGCTATAAGCTTCTCTGTAGGTCTGCTCTGAGTTCAGAGGCACACCAGAAAACCTCATTTCCTATTTTAAACCAAAAAAACCCACCGCAAACGTGCGCTCCATGTAACAAAGCGCTTCCAGGGTCCCAGCGCGGCCCTGCAAACCACCTGCCCGAAGGTCTGAGGCCATCCTGCTGCAGAGCGCTGGGACTCAAGTATATGCATGGCCGCGAGCCACCTACTGTAGTGGTTGGCGCATATCTTCAGCGTCTTGTCCCTCCTCATGAGGAGGCGGATGCTCCCTTTCTCCTTATGCTTCAAAAGCTTGACGTCGCCGGTGCCTCGTTCCTTCCATTCTGGAAGATCATTCTCTGAAGCAAATCGGAATAGCTTTGCCCGCCTTCAAAAAAAGCCATTAAGTGAGAGCTTAAATGTTCACAGTCAGTCAAACAACTCCTTGGGAAGAACACTTGTTTTCTGTGCATTAAACAAACGGTTGTATCTGACGTCTCAACAAACACCCTTTCCCTTTTCTGTATTCCCAGAACTACAAGCTGAAACGTGACCAAAAAACAAAACAGCCCAACAAATTCCAAGTTTTTACTTCACAATAAAAAAGAAAAAAGGCTCCTACAATCACAACATTTTCCAACAAAAAAACCCAACCTTTCAGCAAAGCCCACCTGAGTACACTGGGCGTGTCTGCGGTCACTGTGCAGGGGCACTCCTGTGTCCAGAGGGCCACAGGGGCCACATGGAAGCAGTTGAGGCCAAGGACCCCCGCTCTCACAGGGCCAGCCCCTCCCTCAGCTTCCAGATGCCCCCAACCCAGAGAAAAGGCTGCAGGCCTCCACGCAGGCCACCAGGCTCTGGCCCCATCCCCTGCCTTCCTGCCCACAGCGGCACCTCACACTGGGCCCACACAGGGCCTCCACTCCCAGGCTCCAAGGCCCCAGCAGCCAGCCCAGCAGTCCTGCTCTGGGCTCAGGCCGATGCCCTCCCTTCCCCGCCTATCACACCTGCCCTTTGCTTCCCCACATGACCCCAGGTCTGCTGGTCCCTTTCCTGCACACGACCGTTCTCTCTCCCAAACTCCAATCTGTTGAGGGAGACAGCGTCCTCACAAGGACGCCCCCAGCCCCCAGATGTAAAAGCCTGGTCTGCTGGCCTCACTTGCCTCAGGAAGGGCCCATGTCAGGATAGCAGGAACACTGGCCCCCGTGTGGGCAGGGAGGTGACAACAACAGTGCCACCAGCAGTCCTCCCTCCCGGGAGGAGCCAGCCCCCGGGGGCAGCATCATGCCCGAGCAGAGCAGAGACCTGGAGAACCAAGGTCTTAAGGGAGACACCCACCACCCTCTGAGACCAAAGGGAGCGTGCAGTTCTCCCTTCCCAGGCCTTTGGGAGTGGGGGGAAGGTTGGTCTCCCAGCCTCCCTTCCTTAGAGGGGGAGTTGCAGCATTGGTGATTGCCTCTGCTTCCCTCCCCTCACCCACCGTAAAGCACTCAAACATTAACCTGACACCTCAGAATGTCGAGGGGGCGAGGGGGGAGTTCCACGAGCCTGGACAGGGAAAACACTGCAATCTACTTCCAGTAACTTGTTTGTTTTTTTTTTTAAAGATTTTATTTATTTTATTTTTTCCCCCCAAAGCCCCAGTAGATAGTTGTATGTCATAACTGCACATCCTTCTAGTTGCTGTATGTGGGACCCGGCCCCAGGATGAATGGAGAAGTGGTGCCTCGATGCGCACCCGGGATCCGAACCCGGGCCACCAGCATTGCAGCGCGCGCACTTAACCACCAAGCCACAGGGCCGGCCCAACTTCCAGTAACTTGTAACCGAACCTACCATCTCCTGCGATTCTGAGTGTAGGCAACAGGCCAGTCTTGGCAGTGCTGTGACTCTGTCACAGACATCTCAACACAGCTGGTGCCTGCACTGCTTCAAAATGACACCTGCCACTGTAGCTTTTCACTGAAGGCACCAAGAAGCACGTGAAGAGCAATTTTTAATAAGGAATCTCGACAACTCTAACAGCACCTAGTTTCACTCATAATTCCAAGCGTGTTTTTGCATGTTATACACAGAGTCAAGGATTCACGAGCTTCAGACAGCCAAATCCATGCTGCAAATGATACTACTACTACTACTACTAATTGTAGACACTCCTTGCTCAAGCAGAGAAAGGGGGCTGTGGGAGTCTTGGGGGGAGGGGGTGAGGAGATGTACCCTTGTGGACAGCACAGCAGTTACAGGACACTAGGGAGCGACTGTGCCCTCCACAGCACTGGCCACCAGGCAGCAGGGGCACCCCAAAGAGTTAATGAACCAGTGGATTCTCTCAGCAGCCTTGACTTCCATGAGGGACTAGTCATCACACAATTCCAGGCCCTTTCTTCGGCCCTGGGCCGATTAAAGGTCAGACCAAAATCTGGATGCCTCCAAAACACCATAACTTCAATCTTACACTAAAAATAACTATTTCTGGAGCAACATCAGCTGACTTACATTTTAAAAAGCTCCTCTTCATCTTCTTCCAGGGTTTTAATTTCTTGCTCGGGAAGAGAAACTATAGGCTCAAACTGGGGGTCGTGGTTGGACTCATCTGCGTTCTCGGTGGAAGTATCGTGGTCCTCATGGGTGTCCTGTGGAGGGAGGCGTGGAGATCACTCTTCTCGCTGCGAGCGTGACCCCAACCAGAGCTCAGCAGTGCCCTCAGTGGGCATCCCTACTAAACGGCCTCACCCCAAAGCAAGAAACTCAGCCCAAAGCCTTTCACACTAGGAAAGGTTTGCATGCACATTCAGCACACAGTAAGACACGGGACCTCAGCACCCTCCCCACCAGCATCTCACACCTGTGCAGACTGGCTGTGGCTCCTAAAACTCAGCCACATACTCAGTGGCCTGGCCGAAACTGCCCCATCTTTTTGAGCCCCCGTTTCCTCCTCTGTAAAATGTGTACGATACTGCCCAACGAAGATTAAAGGACAGATGGATGGAAGAGAGCTTTGAGGAACACTACCTTTAAAACAAAAATCAACCCTTTCAGTTTGTCCTGGTTAAGAAAAATCTGTGCTCTCGCTTATTAGAATGAAACAGAGTTGCTATGGGACCGCTAGTATTTACACAGAATTCAGTTTTGTCAGCCGTTTCATCTTGGTTCAGCAAACTAAGTCGGTAACTCAAAATAAGCCGCACAAATAAGAGCCCTAATGTTCTGCTCCACTCTAAAGAACTATAGGACACAAAGAACATTTTGGCTTGAGTCCTACAGAACACGTGGTTTGCTGATCTATAAATCCATAAGAAACCCGGAGACTTCACTACCAGACTCAAACCGAAAAAGAAAATCTGAGCTTTCACAGCTTTGCTTGGTTGGACGGCTCTGCGGCTCCGGCGCGTGAGCTCACCCAGGCAAGCACCGCAGCCCACCGAGCCGCCCCCGCCCAGGTCCGCGCGTCCAGGGCCGGTCCACTCGGCTGGAACGAGCTCCCGCCGCAGAGGCCTGGTGCGGCTCCTGACGCGAGAACAGAATGAATGAAGCGCTGCGTGGGCGACGGACGGGAGGGACGCCCTGTTCTGACGCGAAGCCCGCAACTGGGCTGAGCCGAAGAAAACCCGCCACCCGCCCGCGTCCCCGACGAGAGGCGAAGTGGACGCGAGACCGAGGAGCGCGGGCGGCGGGCCCCACGTCCCGACGGAACTCCCGGCTCACCGGGGCCGCCCCAAGGTCACGCGGGGCCCCTCTGCCCCCGAGCCCCGCGCGCCGGCCCCAGAGGCCTCGAGCCCCAGGGCGGCCGCCC